ACCCGGTTTCCCTTAGCCTTAGCGGTTCGTGCTGCGACAATTCTGTCTGCAATATCCGCAGAAAATCCCTAGGGGAAACATGAGAGCCTTTTCCAACCTTCGGGATGAACGCAAAGCTGACTACCCTCAAAGCCTTGGGGATGTACTCGGTCCTCACGCAGTTCGCATAAATAGGATCCAACCAATTGCACGACACCTTCAGAGCCCTTTGAAGCTGCGCAGGTATGATGCCATCGGTCCCCGGTGACTTTAATGGTTTCAACGAATTTATTGCCCAGGCCATGTGATGATCGTCCAGAAGATCGGAGAAGTACAGGACCTAGGGAAGATTTTGTAACCAGTTAGCGACAATTTTCGAATCGCTATCGCACATTTATATCATGCGTCAAAAAGTGCGGTAGCGATCGGAAAATTGTCGATAACTGGTTACAGAATCTCCCTCCTGGAGTACAAAATATCGCAAAGAAGTACATTTGACTGTACTTCGAAGTACGAAGTACAAAACCTAAAAAAGAAGTACTGTACTTCCGAAGGAAGTACGGTTGGTCACATTACTCTTACCTAATATGATTTTTTTAAACAGGTGCCAACCCTTTTATAGCTCAGTCAAGAAACAAAGCTTTTTAAAACCATTTCGATTGATACCCATTTTGTAATAACTGATTTGTTTTTTTAAAATAATTTAAATTAAACTTTTGAAAAGGTGGCAACTCTTTTCAAAAAAGTAAAAGCTCATTGCACATCTGCAGTTCAAGCCGTTTAAATAATACACCTCACTTTGGAAAATCAAACGAACGGTGCACATCTTATATCCTGGACAAAAAATATCTTCGCGTATTATATATGTATGTATATATATAAATAGTGAGAAACGCAGTGTGAAGTTTCTTAGGCGACAGATACTAATCCCGGAGAGCTTCTCCTGTATAGTCAGAAAGTATTAACTCACGGCACAAGCCGCAATCTGACAAAAGCTAGGCAGTTCCAAAAAGAAGTGTTCGGATGATCCCACGTTGTCTTCCTCCAACTCATCTTCGCCTATGCCGCAAATGCGATCCGGTAAGATATTTACCCCCTCTTCGCTTGATAAATTGGCAAGCTTGAATGCTGGTCAAAAGAACTACGACTAAAAATATGTTGCAAAAATTTAATTTTAGGCGCTTTAAAAATGCACAGCTAATTTAGTCAAAATCAGACAAACCTTAGTGGCATAGTTTTCGTCGCGAATTTTTGACAAATAGTCAAGCTTGGCTGAGCTGATTCGAGGTCGTTCTATTCAAGAGCAGTCCACAAGTAGTCAAGCATCCGCATTTTATATATGTACACCAGGAAATATATGACTTTCTTCCAGGAAGATCTTCTATGCACGCTCTTTAGAGTGTTACAAGGAAAACTAGAAAGTCTTCGTCGGACAAAGAGGTGGGGGTGGGATGTTTCTTAGAGGTGGGTGGCGGTTGCGAAAACACGCAACACTCTCTAATAGAAAGTTGCGTCCTGCACAGAGCCATTATATCCATTCTAGGGCAAAAAAGAGTCAGATTCTTAGCTACGATAGATTTTCCGCAGGGGGAGTGATCTTCCCTCTGCTATGGTCCTTCGTAGTAGACGAACTACTCTGCCTTAATAGCTAAAACGGCTTCGACGTTCAGGGCTATCTTGATGGCATTGACATCCTAATCAGAGATACTACAGAAAAGGGGCAAATTATTAGAACCTTTTCTTCAAGAAGAAAAGCTTTACTTTTCCGAAAAGATCAAATGTCTAGGAGTTAAACTGGAAAAGTCGATGTATGATGTCATCTCCAAGCCCATTCTCTGTTACGGCGCACCCGTCTGGTGGAAGAAGGCAGAAGTGAAGTCTAGCATGCCAAACTCAGTAGGCTACAACGACTACCCCCGGAAGAAAAGTCGCAACACATCTAAATACACTCGGACAGTAGAGTGGTGCTACTCGCTTTTAGAGTGCACGAGGTCACCTCAAAGCTGGTGTGGGACTGCCTTTAGCTCTTAATACGTATCGCCTCCAGGAAACTCATATGCGTCACAGTGAAGTCATGGGAAATGAAGTGGCAGATATTCTCGCCAGAAAAGGGACTACACAGGGATTTATAGCCCAGGACCCATTACTGGTCTATCATGGAGCTCCGTTAGGCGAAACTACTATATCTGGATGAAGAACGAAGCGCAACGTTACTGGACAAACACGGAAGGTAACAGACAGGCCAAGTCCTTCATCCTGGATATATCAACAAGAGGAACCGAAGAACTCCTTCACTTCAGTATGCATAAAGTAAGAATTGTTAGAGGCTTTTCCACTGGCTACTGTAGGGTAACGAAACAATTGTAAAACATAGGAGTTGTGAACTCTGACCAGTATCGGTTATGCAACGAAGAGTCGGAAACGGTAGAGCACGTCACTGTCAAGCCCTCCTAGGACTAGACGCCGCTTCCTAGGATCACTTTACCTAGAAGCACCCGACCTTAACGGCATTCAGCCAAAGGACCTCGCAAGGTTTCTTAGCAATATATGGATCAAAGAAGATTTTTAGTTGAATAGGGGTTTGTTAGAATAGATCGTTTCGGTCGCGGTAACTAGGTTACCGGATTTCTCCTCTAAACCTCATCTAATCTAATCTAATATGTCGTATAAGTAATAAAACCGGCGATATCTAAATATCTACTGTATCCAGTTGGTCACATCCACGCTGCACTAAGTATCTACGTGCCAAAATTTGTTGCATATTGAGTAAATAGTTTAGTAGGTGCAAATGAAACTTAAAAGTGCAAAGTGAAACGCAAACTGCCATCAGCAGCCACCCAGCAAAAGTTTCATGGTTTATCCTGCAAACACACACATAAACTTGCGCCAATATGCACACGTCCAAGTAGAGGTCATAGTTAAAGACTCCGGAAAAAGACCAGGTCAAAGCCAATAATTTATCAACTGTTCTGGCAAAAAATCCTACACGCCATGGCATGAAATCGAAATCGCTTACACCATCACACCGCCAATGGACTGTAAGTCTCGATAGTGCTGTGACATCGAGACAAAGTGACATTATTGTAAGAGAAAATCTGATAGTGGCTTACAATTGTTGGTAGGTGAACCAATGGAATTTACAAAGAGTGTATAAATCACTTGGCCTCATCCGCGCCGCCCAATATTTATAGTGCACATACCGGCCAAGGAAGAGCAATTTTACAGCGGAGAGGATATGAATTTCATAAGCGAACCAATAAACCAATGAGCTCAGTATAGGTCAGCACAAACATATGTTAGTATAGCCATCTCAAGTGGGTCACAAATTTAACGACGTTCGAATTTCTAGGTGATTTTTAAAATTTAGACTTTTTATGAGCATTTGAGGGGACAACCAACCCTACTAAAATTAAATTTTTTCGTCCTGAAAATTACAAATTTAATATAAATACAATTTTTATATTTTAAACAAATGAAAGTTTAAACAATTTTTTCGCCTGTAAAAAAAAATTATAATACCAGCATTTTACGGCGAAAGTGTTCGGGCATTCACTCCGAAAAAAACATGTGAACGGATAACAGTAGTTTATTCACAATCATATCTTTAGTGCGAGCCGTACGTTTTAATGAAAATATATTACAATTTACTTTAAAGTCAATAAAATTACCTTTCATCTGATGTTAAATTTATAGCATTAAATAAAATCAGTCGTAAGCTAAAGCAGAAAAATAACGTATTTTCTCGAAAAATTGTCGTTTTTTTAAACTTCAGGACACTTTCGGCACGTGAAGGCATGTTCCGATTGAGCTCCAACTTTCAAAATTGTATTTTTCCCCTAAGTAGCACAATTTTAGACGTGAGCACCTGTAAAAATCGAAAGTCGATTTTTAAAACCACTCAAATATTACTGTTCGTATGGACACGGAGTGTGTAAGCTCACACTAAGGTTGTGATTGTGAATAAACTAATGTTATCCGTTCACATATTTTTTTCGAAGTGAATGCTTGAATACTTGCGGCGTGATATGCTGCTACTATAAATTTATGACAGGCGGATAAATTGTTTAAATTTTTATTTGTTTAAAAAATAATAATTTTATTTATATTACATTTAAAATTGTCTAGACGAAAAAAATTAATTTTAGTATGTCCTCTCCCTATGTTTAAAAAATCGCATTCCAATTTGTATTTTCAGAAAAAAATAATAATTCCGTACCATTGTAAAAAAAATTAAAATGCTCATAAAAAGTCTAAATTAGAATTTTTTTCAATGAAACTTACGGAGTGTATTTCAGGTAAGCGGTCGCTGTGGTGTAGTGGTAAGCAGTGTGCGCTTCCACTCCGCAGGGCCTTGGTTCAAGCCCCGGTCAAAGCAACATCGCAAAACATTTAGAAAAAAGCTGTTTTCTTAACAGCGGTTGCCCCTCGGCAGGCAATGGCAAACCTCCGAGTGTATTTCTGCCATGGAAAACAGCTTCTCATAAAAATACACTCGCTGTTCGGTGTCGGCGTAAAACTGTAGGTCCCTGCCATTAGTGTGACAACATCAAGGCGCACACCACAAATCTGAGGAGAAGCTCGGCCAAACACTAACATATGTGTAAGCGCCCATCTATTATAATATTATTATATTATTTCAAGTCAGTAGAACTTCATTTGAGCGAAAAATCACCTTGAAATTCGAATCTCGGTAAATTTGTGCCCACTCGAGATGGCCTTATCCAAGTTAATACACCTTGGGATTGTCAACTGAGGTAGGCTCTCTTTTAAGGTACTATAGTGCCAAAAAATTTAAACAATCGATTCAAAATCCAAACAACATTTTCTCAATTCGACTTTATAGGATGGTTCTTCTGAGAGCAATGTCAAATTAGATCACATTGCTGAATACATTTTGGCCTTCCATGTATGTATGTAAACATACTTATGTGGAGCTGCAACTCAACTTCTCCTTTTCTACGTGCCTCTCACACTTACATACATAGTTAGCAATGTGTTTGTTTAAAATTTACTTGACTCACCGGCGTCGAGTATGGGTGTGCTGTCAATCGAATTCCATCAGCCTCTAAGTGACGCTTCATAACAGCCTCCAGCTCCTTCATCGTTGTTGGCGCATCACAATCAGATGCCAGAATTTCATTACTACTACTCAACGCTTTCGGATCGTTAATCATCACATACACAATGGCTGCTCCTTTCTCCCTCAATGATCGCACACTCTTCAGAAGTTTGTTCCGATGCTGTATATTGTCTACACCAATAGCATCTAGATCGATTTCACCGATTTGCTTGCAGATCTCCAGCTCATCGTAGCCATTTTCCATGAAGCTTTCGGCATACTGTTGCATACCTATGGCACGCAGCCATTCACACACGATGTTGTTGTGTGGCATGTTGGGATTTTCGTATCACGTGGCCGTTGTAGCGCAGCTGCTAATGTTGGAGGTTGTGTTCGGAGGCGGGAAGGTTATGTCTAGCGGTGCAAAGCTCACCTTTGACGTTTTGATTGCAGGTTTTGTCTTTGTTGATTTCGTTGTTGCTGTTGCGGCTGAAACCAATGCCGATACAGCCGGTGCGGTAGGGGTGGTAAGTTGTGAGCACGCGGCCGAAGTGCTGCTACTACTTGCAGAGTAAGATGTGGGCGTGGAGCTTGAGCTGGCGCTGGTGTTAGCTACTGCAACGGAGTGGCTGTAACTGAGGTTGCTTGTTGCCTTCATAGCATCAGCGTTCGTCTTGTGTTGCGGGACGATCAGGAAGAGCAGGAAACTATTTAAGATGAGGCATCAGGCTCTGAAAGGAAAATGGGAACTTTTTTAGTACACTTTATTGGAACTGTGCAACGAAATTACAAAAAAGTAGTATGACTGGTGTCTTCTACCGGAATTGTGAATATGGTCGAGTAACTAAAATCTGCTTACTCAAATATATGTATGCATGCTTGTATATGTATATGAAAACGCATATGAAAGTTATAGGCTCGTATACTCTTGTTTACAATGAAAGCAACTTAAGCTATATGCCGGGTTTTCCTCGATTTCGTCGATATTTCTTGTATGTGCTACTTGAGTTCATTCTATGATTACAAGTTAAAGTGCACGTTATTACAATTTCCTTCGAGTGGATTGAGAATTTCTGGATATTTATCCGATATGAAGTACTCGAATATGTTCTATATAAGGGGTGTGCAGATTAAACGATTTTCTATACGGGCCAACTCCGCAAGTATGCGGCATGCTCATATTCAGGAGTTTAATTTTCTAACTAAAAATCAAAACGATCGATACAGAAGTGATGACCTAGTGTTAAACATTTAACAAAAATATCTCCGAAATAGCGATGCCAGATCGAAATATAAAAAAATCGATTCGAATCGAAATAAATATAATCGATGAAGGAAGAATCCACAAGATCGATTCATATATTATACTTAATTTTTATAAAGAAACAAAATACCAACACTGACATTACAAATATTTATTGTAATTAATTGTTAAAATTTACATTGTTCATAACGGTTTCAATATCTACATTTATCCAAAAGATATCAGGTAGCTAAAAATCCGTAAATAATTGAAAAAAACTGTAAAACAAGGTGTTCTATATTAAGCCAACGATATGAGCATTCAGTAGAAATTTCAAAAATTCTTAGCCCTGCTTAAGGAAACAGTAAAATATTTTCGATTTTTTTTAACAAGAGATTTTTTTTTTCAAAATTAAGCGGTATTTTAAAAAAGTGTATGTATTATACACACAAGCCCAATAAAGCTTATTTACACAGGGTTTTTTGCAATATGGATCATTTTTAAATTTTTTAGTTTTTGCTAACTTTAAGTCTCATTACTTAATTACCCTTTTTAGAAAAACATTTAAGAATGCAATTTTGTAGGCCATGGAATTTTAGTTTAATAGAATGCAATTTTGATTTCTGGCAATTTTTTCACTAAAGATTTTGCTCATTTCCTCCATAGCTCGAAATTGTTTTTATATGGAAGAAAATGTTAAGAAAAAAATCGCCAAAAATCAACGCTAAGTCCTGACATATTTAAGCTCGCACCTAAAATTCAATGGGCTATAGAACGGCATAGCAAAATTTTTTTTATGAAGGTAATTAGGGTGTGCAAAATTTTAACGAAAATATCTACAAATATCACGGATCGAATCTGAACTAATAAATCGAAAAAAAATCGAATCGAAAGGATTTGATTAATCGATGTTCGATTTAATCGATTTAAAAATGGCATCTCTACTCCGAACTCGATTAAGAAGTTTCACTCCAAAAAGTTACGACTGGTCAAATGAAAACGCGCAAGGATTTTTTTTATGAAATATGAACAGGCAAGAATACCCATACATATGGATATCCATGGCGTATGAGTAGCACTCTTTCCTGCTCATATGTATTTCATACAAAAAAATCTTTGCGCATTTTTATTTGACCACACATAAGCTTTCTATTCATTCAACAATTTTCTTCATTAGTAGGTTGATTTTTTTGTAGCAGAACAGGCGTTATTCAACACGAATGAAAAAAAGTTTGAATTTTTTTCATCAAAAACACAAAATATCTGGAATAATTAATAAATTCCCAGCAACTGTCGACGTGATCAAGTGGAACCACTTTTTTAAGCTAAATAACGGTAAATTGAAAATATCTCAAAGAAAAAAACTGAACTGGATTTTCGGAATCGGCGAGCGATTCTACATAGGAATAGGATAGTGGTATTCAGGGGACAAAAAAACACAAATTTGTGATCTAGTGTTATTACTAAATTTAGGTTTTCTAAATGACATTTTTATTATTCATATTCTCTGTTTAAAAATTGAGCTGTTACCAGAACTCATTTACAGGGTAGTTTAAGAAATAAAGAACAGAAGGTGTCATTGGAAGGGATAGGAAGGCAGTGGAGGGTCTAGAAAGGCACTGGAAGGGATAATAAGGCATTGGAAGGGCTACAAAGGCACTGGAAAGGACAGGAACGCATTGGAAGGGATACGAAGGCATTGGAAGAGATAGGAAGGCACTGGAAGGGGTAGGAAGGCATTGAAAGGGATAGGTACGCACTGGAAGGGATACGAAGTCATTTGAGGGGATAGGAAGGCAGTGGAAGGGATACAAAGGCATTGGAAGGCATAGGAACGCATTGGAAGGAATACGAAGGCATTGGAAGGGATAATAAGGCATTGGAAGGGCTACAAAGGCACTGGAAAGGACAGGAACGCATTGGAAGGGATACGAAGGCATTGGAAGAGATAGGAAGGCACTGGAAGAGGGGTAGGAAGGCATTAAAAGGGATAGGAACGCATTGGAAGGGATACGAAGGCATTGGAAGAGATAGGAAGGCACTGGAAGAGGGGTAGGAAGGCATTAAAAGGGATAGGAACGCATTGGAAGGGATACGAAGGCATTGGAAGAGATAGGAAGGCACTGGAAGAGGGGTAGGAAGGCATTAAAAGGGATAGGAACGCATTGGAAGGGATACGAAGGCATTGGAAAGGATACGAAGGCACTGGATGAGGGGAAGGAAGGCAATGAAAGGGATAAGAACGCATTGGAAGGGATACGAAATCATTGGAAGGGAAAGATAAGGTAGTGAAAAGGATACGAAGGCATTGGAAGGGAAAGGAATGCGTACAATTGTGTATTTTTTATTTCTTAATTTTTGAAAATTTTCCTTCGTTATGAAGGTGTAGGTGGCGTGGAGGTGGCCCCTACCTCGCTACGCCCTTGTTGATAACTCTGACTGCAAGTCGTCACGGGTTGCCGTGGTCCGAATTGCAAAAAATTTTATTCGGATAGTTTTTAACACAATACCAGTAAAATCCATTAAGAACTAACAATTTTGGTTTTTTGGGGCAGTCGAATGTAGATACCTAACAGATAGGTATGTACATAATTACAAATAAGTTTTAGCAGTTCAACATAAAATGTTGGTGGAATAAAACATACGTCTAGTTTTTTAATTTATGTAAAGTGTTTATAAATTAAATGATAAATAGGGATTTTTTTTTTAATTTTATGTGCATGTCGGGAAAAATTGGGAATTTTAAAGACCGAACGAATTTCTAAAAAAAAAATATTCTGGCACTACTGGTATTGGCTTATGAAAAGCTATCTTGGCTTGTATGTACTATGTATATTGAACTAAAGCAGTAGTGTCCAACCGGTAGCTCGCGGGCGCCTGGTAGCTCGCGACCTAAATTTTTGGCGCCCGCAAACAAGAAGATGAACAGAATATTTTGTATTGAATTGAAAAGTTTAACAACTGGAAGCTTTTTTGGTACATAAGTAGGCTTTTATTTTTGAATTTTTAGGAACACGTTCACTTCTTATCTTTCTATGCTAGACATGACAGAATCTCTGTTTCAGGATTTTCAAAACAAAAACAGCGTAATCTCAGCAATAAAAAAGTGTCGTTATCTGATGACCTACCAAATGATATTCATGGCCAAATAAAATGCGATTTCAAGAAATGTGACTAGTTTTCCTTACAAATGGATGAGTCGACCGATGTTTCAGACTCTCCGCACTTATTAGTGTTCACCAGAGTGGTATTTTCTGATTTTTCTACTAAGGAGGCACTGTTAGTCAATCTGACTTTGGAAACTCGTACTCGTGGGCAAGATATATATAAATAACGTAGTGAAAAAGAAGGAAAATCTGGTTGCAAAACCACTCAACCTTGACAATGTTATGAGCACGATCGTTCGTATTGTGAATTTGATTCGCGGATGACCGTTAAAGCATCGGCAATTCAAAGCCTTGCTCGATGAATTTGAGAGTGAATTCGGTCACATATTCTACCACTCTGAAGTAAGATCGCTAAGTCAAGATAAAGTGCTCTCAATATTTGTAGCTTTGATGACAGAAATAAAGATTTACCTGAAATGCAAAGGCAGCATTTTTAACTGATGTGACTGCAAAACTAAATGGTTTCAATACAACTTTGCAATCTCGAAATCGATAGAGCAGTTGACAAAGAAAAAATTCAACATTTCCAAACGTTTACTCTTCTGGATAAGGCATTTTCACAACTAATGGTTATTAAAAACAAATACCGAAACATACTGACTGACGAACATGTCAAAAATAACATGATTTTAGCCTGCACAACTGTGCAATATAAACCAGATTTTATGAAGTTATATGAAAATATGAATATTCAAGCATCATATTAAGTTTATTGGGCAAGTGCTGCGAGTCGTACGACTTGAAATCGGTGTAATTTGCAAACTATTTTTGATTATTTTTAGGGAAAGTGATAAATATTTCAAATGAGAAACACATAACTTACGTCATATCTATCGACTCAGTGCCAAATTTTGCCGTTTTGTTAATCAATCTCCGAAGAAGGTTATGCATCGTTCTCAAATCGTACGAATTGCAGCACATTCCCATATGTTTCCAATAAAATGAATGTTCTTCATGAAAATATTATGCTCTGTTATTAATTTAACTTAACTGTATAAACTTTAATAATAAATAAATATTTTAAAAGGATCAGTTAGTAGAATATATACATTGAATATAGGAAGAGTGAAACGAGTTAACGCAGTTAAGATTGAAGTTAAGCTAGCGGTGCCCGCGTATTATAGTGATAGTTTCAAAGTAGCCCCAGTGATGCCAGGTTGTGGGTAATTTCCCTATTTGAGGGATATTTTGCATCAAAAATTATTAAAAGGGAAAAAGGGACATTTTATATAAAAAAAAGGGATTTTCTTTTGACGCAGTTAT